CCCATAATCGCACTTAGCCCTTCCCCAAACGAAGGGGCTGTGCAGACTCCAACGGGAGTCATCAGAAAACTTAGCCTTACAGCCAAATGGCACCACACCGCAAAAACCCTAAAACACCTTCTTGTGTCAGGTGACTCCCACCGAACTAGCAAAATAAAAAGATTTAAAATATATAATAGGCACTAATCTGGGAGAACAAGAACTCTTACACTAATTATAATTCAAAACATTAAATCCTTAATTGTAAACAAAACACACAAATTATAATTCTAAACGTTAAATCCCTAATTGTAAGAAAAACACACTAATTATAATTCTAAACATTAATTCCCTAATTGTAAACAAAACACACTAATTATAGTTCTAAACATTAAATCCCTAGTTGTAAACAAAACACACTAATTATAATTCTAAACATTAAATCCTTAATTGTAAACAAAACATACTAATTATAATTCAGAACATTAAACCCCTGAATGTAAACAAATAAGTCCGTGAGTGTAGACAGAACACTTTGATTACATTTTCAAACCTGAATAATAATAATGACTAATAATACTGACGTTCCCTGAGTGTGAGATCGGTCATATTAATTGTAATGCTCATTTTGTAATCGACTCAATGTAAATCTTCGCCTCCTCAGCAGAGGTAAACACCCGCGTGTTACCCTCAAACGTGATCTTCAGCCGGGCCGGGTGGAGCAGGCCGAACCGAACCCCCTCGATGTCCCGCAGCTTGCGACGACATTCCGTGAAGGCCGCTCGCGCCCGGGCCGTTTTGGCAGTGTAGTCAGGGAAAACGAAGATATTCGTACCGTTCACTTTGACCCGCTGCAACTCCCTCGCCTTCGCCAGGATTTTCACACAGTCCGCTTGGTAGTGAAACTTCGCTACAATCGGACGGGCCCGCTCGCCTGCTTTCGGTTTGGGGGCTGGGATGCGATGAGCGCGGTCCAGCAGCGGTTCCTCCTCGAGGTCGAAGGCCTCCTTTAGCATCCGAGATACCGCAGCCGTTGTCGCCGCTGATGGGTCATCCTCCGGAACACCAATGATGCGGATGTTCTGACGTCGCGACCGGGACTCCAGGTCATCGCACTTATCCTCCAACTGTGCCACCGTCTTAGTAAGGACGTCAACTGTTTTCTGGAGGCTCACGATGTCGTCAGTGCAGGTGGAGACGGACTTCTCCACCTCTGTTACCGTTAGCTTTAGCCCCGTGAAGCTCTCCTGCACCGCTGCTAGCCCAGACGATAGCTCCTTTTTGAAGGCGGACAGCTCGGCATTAATCGACGAGAGACTTTCACCCAGAACAGCATGGAATTCTGCTTTAATTATAGCAGCAAGGTCCTCTCGGAGAGCTACAAGTAGTTCTTGCTTAAGGCTGCTGACGTCGCCCTCAGACGGAGGAGGTGATCCAGGACAGCTCGAGGCTTCACTACGAGGATTAGGCCGCAGGTGAGCGTGGATCGAACTTACCCCTTTAGTCGGTTTTGGTGGCATTTTAATGGCCAAATAGGAGGGTTATGTAAAGTGTGTAAGTTAGCTATTGTTTGCTGTCGGACTCGGGAAAAAGTGCCCAGGCATTAATCAGAGAAAAGGCTAATTCTGTAGGAGCACACCCAAACACACCTTATCTCACCGCCATTCAGCCGGAAGTCCGACCGTACGTCTTTCTTTGACTCAATTAGAACTCGATCTCCAACAAGTCCAACTCTCCGAGCCACGTCCACCCACCTGTCCTAGGGGGCGCCTGTTTGTCCCCAATCAAAAGGTAAAAGAGGTTCTTGAATTATGCCATTCATCAAAGTTGTTCTGTCACCCAGGAATCACCAAGACCCTCCAACTCATTCGCGCCCGATTCTGGTGGGCTACGCTTACGGAGGACACCAAGCACTTTGTCAAGTCATGTCCCGAATGCAATCGTGCCAAGTCTTCCAATCGCCCACCTGCCGGGCTGCTACGACCCCTGCCAATTCCTTCACGCCCATGGTCACATATTGCTATGGACTTTGTGACTGGATTACCCCCTTCTGAAGGTAATTCAGTGTTATTGACCATTGTGGACCGTTTTTATAAAATGGTCCACCTGGTTCCTCTCCCCAAGTTACCTTCTTCCAAGGAGCTCAGCGTTATCATGGCCAAGGAGGTTTTCAGGCTCCATGGGCTCCCCCAGAACATTGTGTCTGACCGAGGTCCCCAATTCATTTCCAAGTTCTGGAGGGAGTTTTGCAACCTGCTAGGGATCTCGGTCAGCCTCTCGTCAGGTTTTCATCCCCAAACGGATGGACAATCTGAGCGTACCAACCAGGAGGTGGAGACCAAGCTTCGGCTCCTCTGCGAGGGGGACCCGAGGAAATGGACGTCCAACCTCCCTTGGATTGAACAAGCAATCAACTCTCTTCCATCCTCTACATCAGGTATTTCACCCTTTCATGTTGTCTATGGATTCCAACCCCCTGTTTTTTCAGTCCAGGGGAGAGAAGCTCGGGTTCCCTCTGCATGACTCGCAATTTTACGTTGCCAGCGAGTCTGGAGAAAAGCCAGGAGAGCCCTAATTTTGGCCACCAAAAGGTACGTTCGGGGGGCTAACCGCAGGAGAACGCCTCAACCATTGTACAAGGTGGGCCAGAAAGCGTGGCTCTCCACCAAGGACCTTCCTCTCCGTGTGGAACCTAAGAAACTAGCACCACGTTTCATTGGTCCTTTTCTGATTACCAAAATAATCAATCCTGTCTCTGTTCGCTTACAGTTACCCAGGTCCATGCGCATTCATCCAACGTTTCATGTCTCAAGACTCAAGCCATTTGTCCTGCCACGTTTTCGACCCACCACCGACCTCCCACCACCCGCCCGACTCATTCAGGGGAGCCCAGCCTACACGGTCCGACGCCTTCTTCGATCCAGAAGGTGGGGGAGAGGACTCCAGTATCTGGTAGACTGGCAGGGGTACGGCCTGGAGGAACGTTCCTGGGTGCCCTCACGCAATATTCTGGACAAAACCCTCATTAGAGACTTTCATCGACTGAACCCTCTCCAGCCTGGTGGTCCTTCAGGAGCCGGACCTTGAGGGGGGGGGTTCTGTCATAGCTCTGCTCTCTGTCAGCTCCTCTGTCATGCTGCACACTCAGTAATCACTCAACTCATGTCACCTGTCACCGCTCATTATCCCACAGCTCCACCACCTGGTCCAGTCAGTACTTAAGCTCACTCATTCCTCTCAGTCTGGGCCAGATTCTCTATCCTGTCTCATCAGCAGTAGACTTTCCAGCATTCCATTGATTGACTCATCACGTTCATGACCCTTGCCTTGACCACGACCACGCTTTTGCCTCAGCCCTCGTCTGCTCTTGCTCATCTGATCAGGTACCGACTCATGCTCTTGTTTTTTGACTCTCTTTTTGGATCACGTACTGGATACTTCTGCTGAACAACTGACTTCACGGTATGAACTCTGCCTTTCCCTTCTGACTGTTTTTTGGATCACGGATTAAAGGTCAAGCTCATTCTGTATCACGGACTTATCCTTACCCCTGAATCTGATTCCCACAGATTCATTTCCCCAATTAGTCTCTTTCCCCCTGCATCTACTAACCTTTATCTTTTAGTTGCAAGCCTGTTGGACTCCGTTCCAGTGGACCTTAACATCAGTTCTACTTCTACTGGCAGCCCGCCACTACAACACTACCCAATCACGAACTACCAATCAGAAGATCGGAACCAGCCCAGAACCGGACCTACTCCAGAGTTTTACTTTATTTCACAATAAATCTTTTAACCCTCTCAGTGGTTGTTGTTGTTGTTTGCGATCCGGCCTCTGGTTCGTGACAGAGTCACTAATCTGGGTGTGATAATGGACCCTTCCCTGAAACTTAACAATCATGTAAACATGATTGTTAAATCATGTTTCTTCCAGCTGAGGCGGCTGTCTAAACTGAAGCCCATATTGTACAAAAATAACATGGAGACCGTAATACATGCATTCATTACATCTAGGCTTGATTACTGCAATTCACTCCTGTTTGGTATCAGTCAGACCTCCATTGCACGACTACAACTGGTCCAGAATGCAGCAGCCCGATTTTTAACCAGTACAGGCAAAAGAGAGCACATTACACCAGTTTTAGCCTCACTGCCCTGGCTACCGGTTCACCTTAGAATCCAGTTCAAAATACTCCTGCATGTCTACAAATCGCTGAACAGTCCCCCCCCCCCCCCCCATCCCTCTGATCTGCTACAACCGTATGTCCCACCACGTTCCCTGAGATCAGCGGACCAGTTGCTCCTCACAGTTCCAGGAACTCGTCTTAAGCGCAGAGATAACAGGGCCTTCTCTGTAGCAGGACCAAGACTTTGGAATGAGTTACTACCTCTGCTTGTCAGACAGGCCCCCTCCCTCTCGATTTTCAAGTCCCGTTTAAAAACTCACTTCTATTCAGTAGCATTCAA